AAACTGTTAAAGTTAAGGGAAAGAAAGGGCATTACAAATTTTACAGGTAATAGGGGCAATGTTATAGCTACACAAACTTTTAAATATTGTATTTTAAAATACTAATTTAATTTAATTTAATTGTTAAAAATCATTGTTAGTTGTAACTCTTATCTAATAGATGATAAAATAGTTGATATTTATTATTTAATAGATTAAAATCAGTCTATATATTGATATTTTTAAATATTATAATTAATTATTTAGTTTTTTTTCTATCATATGCACTACAAACATAAGTTAAGTTTAAGAGTATCTTTTTATCATATATGCATATAGAAAAATATGAAAGATGATATTAATTTTAGCGTTAGTGCTAAGTGGATGAATTTAATTGGATAATTGATAAATTTAAAATTAAGTTTTATTTTCTTAATATAAATTTAAGATAAAAAAATATATTTAAGACATAAATTTAAAAAATTATTAAAAAATATTAAAATTTATGTGATCTTAACAATATGAATAATGATAGAGATGACAAAAATTTGAGATCAATAATGTGAGTTATGTTACATCTTTAAATTAATTGGCATGTACAATATTATAGGCTTTGAAAAGAATAAAAAAAATCAATAATTAAATAATATACGATTCATCTTTTGATATTTTAAATGACATAACTTATGTCACGTCATTAATTTTAAATTTTGATATCAAAGTTTTATCTTTTAATATTTTAAATGACGTAAGTTATATCACATTATTAATTCTAAATTTTGATATTAAATTTTTATCTTATTTATCATTATTCTAACAATACAGAGTATGTGGAGCCATAACTACATCCAAAAAACCCTTTTTCCCCCTTTCAAGTGAACAAGGACAATAGTGGAACTGCAGAAAAAAAAGGGGGTGCGAAATAATGGTAGAATATTTAAAGTTAGGGACAAGGCATGCCAAGTTTAAAAGGCATGGACCGACTGTTCCATCCAAGTCAATATATCAATAAAAGTTTGATACCAGAAATCCGAAGGGAGAAAGAAAG